GTTAATCATCAGTGTTTATGTAGTCTAATCTGAGGTTGAGCATTTTGGTCCCTCTTCTGGACATGCAGTGTAATGACTGCAGGTTGGATTACATCACTCTATATATCCAATTAAAATGCTGCTGAGTAATTCCTAGGTGTTTAACATCATTTTATATGAAGTGAATTTATCTCAACAGTTCCCTGAGTACGTTGGATGACTGATGTTACAGGGGGAGCATGACATACACTGTTTTAAACCACTGCTTCACAACACAGCTTATGTTCTCCTCTTTAAAAGCCACTCAGCACTAGTTGTGAAGCCAGTGTAAAACTTCTCCGAGCGAAGTTGGCCGCAGATGGCACTTAGTTGGGCCGAGCACTGCAGATGGTGGAGTGTCGTGCTGATGGATGTGCTGTCTAAAACTCAGACAAGAAACCTGCTGGTGCCCCTCTGTCTCAGAAACTGAGAGGGAGGCTGAGGACGAGAACCTGCAGCCCTTAAAAACACCCGGACCCCACACACACACACACACACACACACACACACACACACACACACACACACACACACACAGTAGACATATTTTAGTTGCCAGAACAATCAATAATAGAAATGTTATTTCATACTATAGAACAATGTGTACAGCCTGGAAGGCTTAGGAGGAAATGTTCAGTGAGAAAAAAAAAATATTGTGTATACTCACATAATGTATATACATGCATACTGGTGTGTATAACATGCAAAATACAACAAAAGAAAAAAGTGCCATGCACTGGATCCAGACAAAATGACCATCTGTTATTTGCAGAGACATGAATGTTGAAAGGTCTTTGCATAGTTTAATACTTTTTTCTTTGCATATGCATACATGTTTTCATACTACACTTATTTTCACTTTGGTCAGTATAATATACATTATGCAGTATAATACCACAGTTATACAATAATACAGTTCTGCACACTGTGGTTCTCGTCACTGCAGTTTTAATAACACATGATCCACCAGTTGTGTTGATGTTTTTCTTTAGCCTGAACAAACTATACACAGACATCATCTTAGGCATTGGTCATGTAATATTCACATGATACATGTTCATGACTTATATTGATGAAAAAATAAATACATATAGAGACACCAACACCAAATTACATGTGTAGAGAAAAAAGAAAAACTATAAATGTATATAAACATCCATATAAAACATATATATAGATATGTAGGCTGTGAAAAGAACCCTCAGAGCACAAGTGAAATAATTGGCCTAATAGTCGCCAATATGACCAAATTAGAATAATTAAAATAGAATAGTTCCTCTACTTTATCTTCTATGGTTCAGCACCTGCTTATGTTTCACGTGAGGGACATAAACATCTACGACATTTTTGGAACCTAAGCTAAAACTAAAGCATCTTGAGATTCTTTTGTAATAAATCCTTATTAATAATGAAAATAATAAACTTTTGAACTTTTTTCTGTAGCAAAATCTATTCAAGGACGTGCAACATGATGTACTTCATTAAATAGGATAAATATGATAAAGGACCTGCCAGAGGTCGTAATGTTTGGTAAATACTTTACAGAGGTGTTGGGCTGACGTTGAGTTGCGATGCATGAACAGAATATTAGAAACATTTCACAGACAACACATTACAGTTTGAATGCATTATGTTCTGTCTGAGTTCAATCAGCAACCGTTTCAACAAAAGCATGTTCGCTTTCATTAAAGGAGAATTTCTCGCACATACACAAACGGTGCAGGTCAAACTCCGCTGCCCAACGCTGAGATGAATTAGTGTGATATAAATACTTGATTAGACTGAAACGTGTCATCAGCTGGTTTAGATTCATGCAGTAACTCGGCTCATGAACCGTCTTTGTTAATATCATTTGCTGCCGGAGTCTCACAGGGGGAGTCCTGTTCCTACAAAATTGAAAGCGCCTGCAAATATTTGAGCAGTGTTTTCCTTCGACACCTACAGACTCACGGTTCCTCTGCTTCCCTGTGCTAGATGTGCGGTGACTTGATATATCGGGTCCTATCGCCCCTGCTTTGGCTCGAATCCAAGGCCCATTTTTACAGATGGGTTTTACGTGGGCCATTTTAGCAAAGCACCCTCCCCATAAAGCCAAGTGTCTCATCGCTTCATAATTATGTGATTATGGTCAATTGCTGTGGTTGGGGTGACAGATTCTATTTGAGCCCAACAGATGCTTTTATCATATTTTAGATCCCCATTTGACCTTAATCAACCGTTACATGTATGAATACAAGGGGGAGAAGATATTTCACTCCTGAGGTGGATCAGGTGTCCGAGAGCTGCGGGTACGACCGAGGGAGACGCGTGGCTGCGAGCGAAGCTGAAACATTTCATTGAACAAGTCATGGGCAAAGCTGAAACATGGCGACAGTGAATGAATCCCACCACTTTCTCAGGCCCAGAGCAGAAAGAAATTACACAGATAGATGGTGCCACCATGTGGGAATTAGATGACATTACAATTACAATGTGGGGACTAGTAATATACATACAGTATATAAAAAAGTAAACACTCTTTCTTTTGACACTAAAAACACAAAACATTGTTTTTTTTCACAGAGGAGTTATTTTGCCCTGTCATGTTATTCCATATAAACATTTTACTATAATATAATACAACTTTGTTTTCTCTTTTTGTTTAATACAATTTCTCTATTTTGTTTTTCTTTTCAGTTCTGGGTTATTCGAGGTCTCGTCTTCTTATAGAGTAAAGGCTCAGACTGAACTACCTTCTGGAAGAAAAGTGATAACCAGCGACCACCAACAGTTTACAGCAGCTGTGTCCTACTTGCATGCAATAGATACATTCCAAACAGATGGAGTGTGGAGAGTACTCTGAACAAGTAGTGTACTCTAAACAGTGCTATAGACACCAGACATAATCTTAACTTCACTGTCTCACACTGCAGCAGGCGAGAGGAAACGCTGCAAAGCTTTAACACAAATTGCAAGTGGTAAAAAAGACCCGATAAATGTGTGTGATTGTTTTTTGTGTAATTTCAGTTACTTGACACGCTGGCTCGTTTCGACATGAGTTGTTTTTCTGTGACAAAACGTCTTGATCTTTACTCTTGCTTCAAAATGATTTCTGACTCACTAACATCAGGGCTCATCTGGTTTTGTTCAGAGTTGTTGCATCACAGTTTCTGCAAAAACAAGTTCTTTAAATCTGTCAAATCAATGATACAAGTAATGTAACTAACTTCAGCTGATGAGTAATGACCAAATTATATATCATTATTTAGTTTAACAAACTGAGAGTATAGTGTAGGACACATGTGGCAGGTTGTAAAGTGCTGGATTTAGGTGCTGTAACATTCCTATGGGAAAGGATGAAGTAAGTAATGATCTATTACTGTGAAATATGATATAATCACATGTTGAAGTCAGAGTCTGGACTGTGATTGGAACGTAAAGAAAATAGAAGAAGTACATTCATCATGAATCATTTTAAAGCTCAATGTTGAAGTTGGCAGAAATGTGACCAAACTAACAAGTATTCACTGATGAGCGTGTAAGTCCACACATTTTCCATGTTCTATACGCAGTCTGAACATTAGCACCTTCCTGTTCCAGCCCTGCTTCTGATCGTTCAACCTAAATGATGACAGAAAGCACTAAAAGTCTGATTTAATTGGGTTTTGGTTGATGCCTCGGGCTAAAGAAACCTCCAAAATTCAAAGAGCAATGCAGAGCATGTTCACCTACTGAGAGAGAGCGAGCAGAGGCCGTGTCGTGCACCGGAGTGACAGAAAATAACAACAGTGTTTTCTGGATTTTCATTTTTTCTTTTTTGGCTGTGACAAAAAAAAAATCCATCTCCCATTGTTTGTCGAGGCTCAAAGGATTAAACAAAGTCAACAGTGATGGAGAGGCAGTGATCTTTTGAAGTATTTACATTTGTGTTTTTTGCTTCTCCTCCTTCCCCCTGAAGGCGCGCGTCTATATTTTTCCTCTCGCACGCTTCAGGCTCAGAGTTTGTCTTTGCTCCGGTTGGGTAAATGTCGGCCTCTGCGACAGACAGGTGCTCTCCATCTTGTAAACCCTGAGGGGGTTCGGTATAAGACAAATGGGTCTGGGGGCATGGCCCCGCCCTTTTCCACCTGGCTCATCTCGCATGGTGGCGGTGATGTTGTATCATGGGATTTGTAGTCTCACCATGAGCGCCTGTCTGCCCCTGAGCTCACAGAAACTCACCACAAAACATCGCTGAGACACGGAGGCTGAAGTAGACAAGTTTATTAATGATAATAATGAGGATGATGAGGATGATGATAATATTAATAATTAGTCATAATTATAATAACGTTAATGTCATAATAAATAGAACTCTTTATCTGAAGCACGTAAAGAGAAGCATACAGAAAGAGAAAAAACAAAAACACAAAGTTCAGAGTACAGAGCCAGAGGAGGGG